AGCCTAAAGAGTAAGCTATATCTAACGTTCTTTAGAAGATTTAATCTAGTGTTGTTGTTAAGGCATTATGTAGATAGGTAGAGTTTAGTGGGGGCTTAGCAAAAGTGGCCGGCAAACCTGTTAGGTACGTTAGTAAATCTACTATTTTTTTTAACTAAACTAGTAAACACTTTTACTGTTAAGTTATTTACTACTTCTATTATTACACTTAGTAGAGATTACTAGTTTAACCCCAAGCTATGCTGTTAATAAGTAATTAGATAGTAATAAAACTTAGTAATAATCTAAGCCTTATAGTTATTCTACATAAATATTTTTTTATAAGTGTATATAAAGAACTTTAGTGTAACAAACTTTTAGGCTATTTTGCTAGCAAAATATCTTAGTGTAGTAGAGTAAACTTAGTTACTTACTGCTAGCTTATCTTTAAAGTATAATTTAAGTATAGCTTTAATGCTATGCATTTAGGTGTAGAATAATCTAGGCAGAGGTACTACATAGCTTAGCTTGTTATATGCAGTTATATTCTCTACAGCGCTAAGTTTAGTTGTCAGATTGAAGCACTGTTTCTAGGCTTCCTGAGATGAATGATGGGTTTGGATATGATGTATGGGATGATTGATTGATTGTATTTATTGTGTTGATTTATCGATTCTTTTTCTGCTCTACTCGTGTTGCTCGGCTTTTTGTTCTGCCGATCCGAGTCCCTCGCGCACTAGCCCTATGCGCGACCAGCTTGCAACATGCTGCAATTTGCTGCAAAATGCTGTAACATGCTGCAATTTGCTGCAATTTGCTGCAACATGCTGCAAAATGCTGCAAAATGCAGCAATTTGCAGCAACATACTGTTCGAGCTTATTGCTCGTACTATGTAGCAGCTTTCGTCAAACGTTCCTCCTGTCTTGACAGTAGGTGCGCATATCTGACATTAGTAGACTACATCTAATTTAGCATCTTATTATTGCTAGTAACTAGAAACACTAGCTTATCTTTTATAAACAGCTTATTAGTAAGACTTATTTATTGTAAAGATGGGATGGTAAGTAGCACGGATAGCACTGAGAGCAAGCTTTCGGAGAAAGATAGGAGTGTATTGTAAGAGAGACGAATCGCTGCCAAGCTTCGCTTGTCAGGGTTCATGCTTATATACGAAGCACAGGTCATACAACCTCCAAACAGGTCAGGTGAGGCCATACTGGCCTGTTCTGGGACATCCGGCCTTACATTTATAACTAAAAAAAGTCCTAGAGTATCTTAATATTATTTACTACTATACTTTTATTTAGCTAGATAGGCATTATTAAAGTTAGCTTCTAGTTTCCTAGAGGTAGTATAAGTAAGTAGTTAATTTTTAGCATTTTTAAGCGCTTTTTAAGCTCTTAACTAATAGTAATAAACTTATTAATAACAGCGCTATAAGCTTTACATAGAATGCTAATAGTTTACATAGTATAAAAGGCCTTTATAATATTGCTATGCTTAGAAGAAGGGTCTATTTTGTCTATATTTAGTAGGATTGTGCTGTTAAAGTCTAACTAACGCAGATAGCAACACCCCTACTTAGTTATAATACTATAGAATCTATATATTAGCCTAGTAGTAATTAAAAAGGTTGTACCCTTTTTTATATAGCTTTACTTGCTAACGCTAAGGTGTATATTGCAGTTATTATATACTAAAGCGCACAGCGCTAAAAACTAGTAATAGTAAATAACTTCTTACGCAGTAGCTTTAAGCACACTAATTAAGCGCTGTGTAGAGTTATATAACTCTGTTAACTCTAAGGACTGTGTTACTTTAAAAATGTGTTATTTTACGCCTGCAAAGTAAAGAAGGAGAAATAGTAAAGATAAAAAGCAGTTTAACAGCTTAAAATGCTATAAAAAGCAGATGTTTAAGATAATAAATATAATCTATAACGTACTTTACAGGCGAGTTGCTTACACACCTAAGTTGCTTACTTTTACTAAGACCCTACTAAACTACCCTTTCTATACTAATGTATTCCCTATAACACTACTTAGATGTGCTAAAAGAATGTTAGATACAGCTTACACTCTAAGCTTTTAAATAAGACATAAAACTCTTAAAAAAATGTGCTATAGCTATGTATAAAGTTTTATAAAAAAATAATAAATAACTATAGCACTAAATAACCTTTATAAGCTAATTTTACAGCTAAATTATAAAGGCTAAGTAATAAAAAAAAGCAGGTAATTATTAAGACTATACTTAAGCTATATGCATAAGGAATTTCCCTTTAGATAGCATTTATAGCTAATATAGCTAATTCTTTACGCGCTAAGCATAATCTAGGCTATGTTTATATAAACTAGCCTAGTATGTTTGTAAAGTGTTATTTAGAGCTTAAAGTAAAGTTTTAAGCATAAGTATAGTTAAAAGATATTTAGCTAATTATAAACTCTATCTTACTAAAGTTATATGTAGTATTATTCTAGATGCTATACTTAGCTTTAATATTCTTTATAAGGCTAAACTTACTCTAAATTACTCTAGAACTCTTATAAAAAGCTTTTTTATAGTTATACTTACACTTAAATATTACTTTAGGCTCTAAATAATGCTTTATAAATGTACTAAGCTAGTTTATGTAAACATAGCCTAAATTATGCTTAGCGCACAAAGAATTAGCTATATTAGCTATAAATGCTATCTAAGGGGAAATTCTTTGTGTATATAGCTTAAGTATAGTCTTAATAATTACCTACTTCTTTTTATTACCTAGCCTCTGTAATTTAGCTGTAAAATTAGCTTATAAAGGTTATCTAGCGCTATAGTTATTTATTATTTTTTATAAAACTTTATATATAGCTATAGCACATTTCTTTAAGAGTTTTATGTCTTGTTTAAAAGCTTAGAGTGTAAGCTATATCTAACATTCTTTTAGCACGTCTAAGTAGTGTTGTAGGGAATGCATTAGTGTAAAAAGGGTAGTTTAGTAGGGTCTTAGCAAAAGTAAGCAACTTAGGTGTGTAAGCAACTTACCTGTAAAGTACGTTAAATAGTTTTTATTATTAAGTGTTTTTATACTTAACTAGCATAACTAGAACAGGAGATTAAACAGGGTGCTAGCATACTAACAAATAAGCGCTGTAACATTAGACTAAGTACACTAAATAAAGGCACCTAATACTTATTAAAAGTATTATCTAAATAACATTATTTTTAACTATAACACATTAAGCTTAGCCTTAAGCTTTGCAATATAGTTCTAGATAGCAGCCTTAGGTGTTACAATAGACTATAAATGTAGCTTTATAGCACTGTTTCTGTCTACCTTTTTAAGCAGTATAGCTTAATATTATAAGGCTTAGAAGGCAAGCCTAATAAACTTAAGAAACAAGCTTTTTTTTTTAGCTATTATTATAGCAAACTCTCTTAACTATAGTTATATATAAGGCAAATTACTTTTACTTTTTTACTATAAAGTCTAGCTTTAGTAGATCTTACTGTGTAAGTGTAAACTTTAATAATTTTAAACCTTTAGGCTGTTTAACACTGCGTACTAGCAGCCTTAGTGTAGTAGTAGTAGTAATAGGTAATGTGTACTACTCTATTTTATAAAGCTCTATTTTATAGAAGAAATCTACGTTTAATAGCAGCAAAAAACGCATATTAGTATATAATGTTAAAGTAACATTAGCTATATATAGTTAGCAAAAAGACTATGCAGCTTAAGTATAATTAAGAATATAACAGCTACTTACACATATAAAATATAAGCGCAGCTAAGAAAGGCTTTTAACTAGGCCTTTTATAACACACTTTATAAAGTAAACTAAATATAATACAGCATAAAGTAAAAAAATATGCTAAAGAGATATTTAGCTAAAGTGTAATTATAAATATAATAACTACCTACGCATATAAAACATAAGCGCAGGTAAGGGAGACTTTTAGCTAAGCCCTCTAATGTTACTAAAATAAATTAAAATACTATAACTAGCTATATATATAATTTATAAGCGCAGAAAGCTAATAAATTTATAAAAAGTTTATTATACTTTATATATATGTAAAAATTAAGGTAACGCGCGCAGCTATATTATTATCCTTATATAGTTAAGTTGCTAGGGGTGTAAGAGAATATATCGCACAAACACTAGGCCCCTAAGGTAATTAATTAAACATAGGGTTATCTCTGCAACTTATAGTGCAATTTTGCTAAAAAGTATACTAATTAACATAAAATTAAATAAATTAATTTATTCTTGCGCTAAGCTAGGCAATAGAAGTAATAGAGAGATAGTAGGTCACGTTAAAGTTAGAAGAAGGTAGATTTTCCCATACAAATCTAGGCCCCTAAGCTACCAAAAATTACACGGGCGACTAGACCCTCCTGCGGAGGACCCCTCACGACACGTGATCCGGGCACGTGACCCGTGACTCGGGCCAAGACAGGGGGGTTGGTTATTACTAGACTAGATGCGTTGCAGCTGGAAGGTTGAGAGTGTGTCGGTCTCGCAAGGTGCGGAGGCTCTCGCTCCGACTGCCAATCAGGAAGCTGTCGCTCGCTATCGATAAGCTCAACCGAATCCCATCCCATCAACCCGAGGGTCCGTGCGGCCCTACTTTGCCGTGTTACTTGCATATTTAGCAAAACTTTCCCATCTTCCTATCATTTCGGATCCATGGTGGAATGATCTGCGCGGCGATACCTTCCCCTCAATGTCTTCCGAGTGACAGACTCGTGATATCCGACTACTCTAAGACTCTCCAACTGCCAGCATCCGAAGGGCTTGGAATTCGTTGTGGTTCATCGGATAAAATCAACAGACTGAGCTAGCATGTTCCTGTTCGAATAGACTAAAGATAGTCTGCCCTTACCTAGAGCTTCCTGGAGCGTGTATCAAGAGCGTCCCTGATAATGCAAAATGGGGAATATATCGAAATTCGCGGAATGGTGGATGAAGTTGTATTATGTCTAGATTTGCCAGCATATTCTTCTGCCCTAGTTAATTCCATCGCCCTTCATTCCTTATGACTTCTGCTCGCACATTACGATATATGGATTGTATACGCCCCCAAGATACAGCCTTTTCTGCCTTGCGTCATACCTCACCACGGAGGCCCCGTTAATAGCCTTCCTATCCCTATCCTCCAATATTTTTGTGGTCACATACCTAATTGGCCATCTCTCCTCGAACTTCTCAATCTTGAATATCGAGCTACTACTTGATCGACCTGTGGGATCATATTTACTTCTTCCGACGGCCCAAAAGTCACCCTTCGAATCAACCGTTAGATGTTCAATCGGCATGCCCATCTTGATCACATGAACTTGTTTATATTGGCCACCTTCCTGTAACTCAAAGACGCGGATCTTTCCATCAATGACTGAGGGTACGTAAATGCGGTCGTCATTCCCTCTAACCAGGCCTCCCGGAATGGGGATCTTTTTGGGGGTTGTGACATAGGTATCCCACCAGTCGTCATGGTATGTGAGACTCCCACCACCGAGCAGAGGATCGAGTTTCTTGCGTAGCCCCACTCTCCTTGATCGATCATTGCTGACGACAAAATTGTTGGCGCCGGTGAACGCAATTTTGTTCGGTGAGTGTAGGGAGGGATTCCAGCCAGTTCCAACATGTCTCATCTTCTTCTCTCGCTTTCGGTACTCATAGACCTCGATTGTAGTATTAGCGCCAAATTGTCGGGCATCGAGAAGATTCCCTTTTGCGTCGTACGGTGGGCGCTGGTTCAAAAGCCAGAAACGTAAAGTATAATCATCCACCACCTCAACGTCGAAACTAGCAAGGTCCAAATGGCCATCGCCGGGCGCATTACCGTACCGAGTGGGTTCGATTTTATGCATTCGGAAGAGGCCGTCTTTCCGCGGCTCGTCGACGTAGATTGCCATGAGATTAGAACCTCCTGGCCTTCGACCCGAGGTGTTAAATCGTGAGAGGCTTCGAAGAGGCGCATTAGCGATTGATCATCAATATTACCCTCGTGAGCTGCATCCTTGGGCTGCTTACCTTGGATTCCATTCGTTCCGTGAATCCATACCAGCACAAGCGGCATACAAAACTCGGTCCTTCTCGTCGAACCACACATCTCCGCATGCCCCCAGCTGCTTATGTTGAAGGGGGAGGCATTTGTAAGGGAAATTCTCAATAGGCTCAATGCGTCGCCCGAAACCGAGGGTTACGAATAGTACATCCTTGAGCCACCATTGGTACAACATCGAGAGGAACACCGCTCCAATCGCCGAGTAAGTTCGGAGAGTGGGCATGGCGGCGCCCCTACCAGAACGCTTAAATGACGTTTCGGATCGGTGGGATATGGTGTTCACGGGTGATGGAGTTTTGAAGTGCAGCAGGCGGTGAATGTGTAAGGTCAACCCACGGCCTAACCAAGATACTTTTATGAGAAACCCTTTAGACGAACGATGCCCCCAATTCCCAAGAAGTCAGATCAAGCTCCGAGTGTGGGGCATGCGGTGGGTCTCAATGCTGTCGGATTGGCCACTTGCATATCCAATTTCATGCTCTAAAGTCATTATCACAAGAAGACACGTGGAAGAAGCTAAGACATTTGATTATCATGGATTTAGCGCTTGGTCAATCAATTTTGATGCGTTCGGCTAAATGCTACGTGATGGGAAATGCGCCGATCAGGATTCTAGGAACCATGATTCTAGCTCAAACTCTAAAGCCTGTGACCGATGGATTAGGCTCAAACTATGGAAATTCTGGTACTAAGTAAATTGACGCCCTCCATTTTGTCTTCGAATCATATGGCTCAAGAAATCATCTAATAACTTACTTACAGAATCCTCAACAAGAAGGTCCAAGTCGACTCACGCGTTATCTCGCCTTTCGATCCTGCACCAACCTCAGTCGACTAGGTTAAAGCTCGCTGTAGTAGTAATAGGCTTTGGGGCATAATCCATAGTGGTAGGAGTGGGTGTATCTACAGAACACCAACGATCAGCACCGGGTGACCCCGAGTAACTATATGCTTTATAATATGCCCTTTCAATTTAAATCTCGATATAGAGCATTCATCTATAAAGAAGCACAGATATAATCAACGTTAGATCGCTCTATTCACACCCTCTCATAATTATTGTAGAAGTTTGGCCATCTGTGTATCATATATTCAAGTGTCCGCCGGGGGGATATTGTCATCCTAGTCAGAGGGTGCAGGGTCCGGATTTAGATAGATTATCAGCGAGGGATATCCTAGGTTAAAATATACGCGCTACAGTCTTTATTAAATCTGCATAAGGCTTGCGAGTTAGCAGCACAACAGGCGGCAAGAGTGCCTAAGCTGCTAACAGTGTCACTGACGCAAGAGTGTGAATACACTACGAAAGTTTGTAAGCGCGCTCAGTGAAACAGACAGTACTGAGAGTCTTAAAATCCATCTACCAATATGAAGTGACTAATAATCTTGCCATCGGCAGGTTTCACCGGTTTACGGAGCTTGGTTGCTGGTGCGATTTCAGGCTCGGGTACTTATTATCCTGTTTGCAGTAACTGAGCTCTCCAAGCATTGCTTCTCGTCGATAGGTCCAGCCGTATTAAGTGTTGTTACAGATATGCGCGTTTGAGTCAGGATCCAGTATTCAGCAATTAATGAGGCTTAGTACATCGACAGAAGTGCCGAGGACCTGCTGCAAAGTATTTAACTGCAGAGTTAAGCTAGGAAACTCGCTATTATTAAAATTAAGAGGTGGTAGAGTGCTTTGCTGTCTTTGCTGCTTCTCTTACTGCTGCTTGCCTCTCTCTAGAGCAGCCTACACTTTTAAGATAATATTAGGGTCTTTGTAGGCCTAATTAACTTTCTGCTAAGTAGAATAGTCTAGCTTCTATCCTTTATACAAGCAGCAGAGTTTAAATACTTACATTTGCGAAACTAATAAGTGCTGCTGCAGATGTAGAGACGTTTTGCACTAGTTTTAAACCTAGATTAATTCTAGTGTAATCCTGCAATGCCTATAGTAGCAAATAACCCTATAGAAGCAACTATAGAATTTGTAGTGCAGTGCTAGATGCAATATTAAGAGACGTTGTCTCCTAGGCTAAGAATTAAATTAAGATCAACGTATTACGTTATAGTAATACTTGAACTTTAATTTAAGCTTTAAATAATACTTAATAACTATACCACGCTAGTTTATGCTAACATAGCCTAGATTTCACTTAGTGTGTAAAAGATTAGCTATATTAGTTATAGCTGCTAGCTAAAAGAAACATTCTTATATATTCGCCTTCTATATATGCTTAATAATTAACTACTTTTTATTATTAACGTACTTCATGGGCGAGTTGCTCACACACCCAAGTCGCTCACTTTTGCTAAGACCCTACTAAACCACCCTTTCTACACTAATGCATTCCCCACAACACTACTTAGACGCGCTAAAAGAACGTTAGATACAGCTTACGCTCTAAGCTTTTAAATAAAACATAAAACTCTTAAAGAAATGTGCTGTAGCTATGTGCAAGGTTCTATAAAAGACAATAAATAACTACAGCGCTAGACAACCTTTACAAGCTAATTCTATAGCTAAATTACAGAGGCTAGGCAATAAAAAGGAGCAGGTGATTGTTAAGACTATACTTAAGCTATATGCGCAAGGAATTTCCCCTTAGATAGCATTTATAGCTAATTGTAACGGCGCAGGCAAGACAATGGGTCCGAATGCGGTATGAATCCACTCAGAGGCATATGGGAGTGCGTGGGGACTCAGAGACCTAGGAATACCAATAACACCTATAGGCCTTGTACGTAGGATATCAGAAAACTACTGAGCTAGCTACGGGGCAAGGTGCGACTAAATACATGAGGGAATAGGGGTAATAGCAGGGGGCCGGGCAGAGTTGAGTCAGGGTTGAGCCAGGGTCGGAGCCGATACGGAGACCCTTCAGATAGGTTCCGGGCGACCTGAGATGGAACGATTCATGAGAATCGTTACACTACCCCCCCCTGTAGACTAATAGTCCCTATTAGTAGTAGTTATAGTACAAAGTATTGCTGTTATATCCTCTGCATCCTTAAAACAAAACTAGTCTAATTTAGCTAGGTGTCCTTACTAAGTATTCCTTTGCACTGCTAGCAGTGTCCTTAGAGTTGTAATACCTTTATGTATAACTATAAATTTACTCCTTACTTTTATACTTTATTGTTTGCTAAGTAATCTATGCCTTCTACACTAGCTTTAAAAGCCTTAATCTACTTATATAAGGCCCTTAGAGGTTCTAGCTAATTTAGATGCTTATTATAGAAGGCCTTTAGTTTATAAGGGGAACCTATAAAATTTAAAGCCTTGTACTAGACTAGATTAGGGTTATGTTCTACCTATTTTACCTAGTACTTAAGTGTTTTCTAGTAGAGCTTGCTAGCAAGTATTTCCTCTACTTTCTACTCTTCTACCTTATTAATAGCAATTCTAGGGGGTTTTAGAGGTTCTTGTTTTAGAAGTAGATTCTAAGGGTCTTTACAGAGTATATTTAGTGCAAAGACATTATGTATCTTTAACTCTAAAGGTAGCTCTAGGCAGTATAAGTTTCTAACTTATTTAAGTACCTTAAAAAGGCCTTTTTATTGTTTAGATAGTTTTTAGCTAGGTCTCTAGACAGCAAGGTTCTTAGTGTCTAGGTAGACTATGTTGCTAACCTCCTAGTTAACTAGCTAGCAGTGGCGGTTAACTACAGTTTGCATCTAATCCTAGGCCTTTTCTATATAGGTCTTAGCTAACTCCTAGGCTGCATGCATGCAGGTTGCTAATGCTAGAGCATTCTTATAATTTAGCTTGTCTGTGGCTGTAATAGGTTCTGTAGAATGTTTCTAGTCCTAGCTTTAACATAGTTTAGAGCTGTATAGAACTTAATATAGAGACATTTTAATTATTGCATAAAGTAAAGTTATCTAAGCCTAATTAATTAAAGGCAGTAAGGAACTCTAGTTATCTTAGTAAAAAAATATAAAAAGCCTTAGTCTTTAATTAATATACTTATTTATAATCTCTATTTAGCTATCTGTTTTCTTATAATAAGCAGTAAAGAGCTTAACTTTTATGCCTAAAATTTAACAGAATTTAGACTAGAAACTAGATACAAACTAAGGTCCTTAATTAAAAATAATAGTTTTAAGTGTGTAGCTAAAATAGTACACTTATTAAATAAACAAAGCAGCTATTTTTTAGGCGTTAATTATTTTATAGCAGGGGATAGAAATAGCTTGTTTTAACAGGTAATTAATTATAACTATAATTTAATTATATCTAGACTTGTCTTTAAAGAACTCCTTAAAGTTAATGCACAGGTGCTACATTAGTTAAGTAGGAATTAGTAGAAGGTAGATAAAGCCTAGGGTTTAGGTCTATTTTAAATAAGCCTTATAACAGAGGAGGCAATTCTATATGTATTGTTTGCAAGTAGCCTCTATACCCTTTTAGTAGTACTTTTAGGCTAGTAACTAATAGGTCTTTGTAGCACTTAGGTGTACTAAGGATACTTAGTTGTAGACTTCTTAAATAAGTTAGGTACACAGTAATAAGTCTGCTAGCACACATAAGCAGTTAGCATAAAAAAGTAGTCTATTTTTTATTTAATAATAGTAGAGTAAGAGTTCTTACTTTTGTGTAAAAAAGGCTTAATTCTTTTAAAGTAATATATTAATTAATTCTAGAAAATCTAAAGACATAACCTAGTCTAGTCCTTCTACAATGTTTAGTGTAGCTGCTTAAGTTATTGTTTAAGCAATATAGTACTAGGCTAGTTTAGAGTTAATTTAAGAGTAAAGTTAGTGCAGTCTTAGTAGGACTCTTAACCTATTATTAGTTTAAGCTGCTCTTAAATTTTCTATGTCTTGTTTGTAATAACTAAGGATGTCTACCCTAGTGTTGTTCTTGCTAGGGGTGTACTTAATTTAAAAGTAATACTAAGCTAACTTTTTAGCCTAATAGACTTAATAAGCATTTAGCACCTTTATTATTATAAAGTACTTTAATAAATAATAATTAGTATATACTAGGGTGCTTGTTGCTATAAATGTAAGCTTAGCCTTTTATTATTTAAACGTAGTAACAATTGTAAATAGCTTCTTATTATGTATCTCTTAGTTTAGCTCTAAACTAAATAGGACCTTGCTATAAAATAATACAGGGCACTAATTTCTATTTGCTTGTTCCTAAAAAAGGACTTCTGCTACTACTCTATTAAAAGTGTTAGTTTTAATTTTAGTTTATAACATAAAGTTAAAATAGTAGAGTGTAGGTATACTTAGTAGCGCAGACTTTAGCTTTTTAAAAGCTATGTTACACTCTAAAGTCTATATAAAAGGGGTAGTAGAGCTTTAAAGCGTAATAATTAGTTTTACTATATAAAAGAATTTTAAAATAAATTGCTAATAAAATCTAGTAAAGCCTAGAAAGAATTTTACACCTGTTATAGTAGTAGGCGCCTACTAGTTACATAGCACCTCTACTTTTTTTAGGTTAACCTTTAGTCTTTTATTTAAGAGTATATAGCTAAGATACCTTATTTAAGTAATATAAAATTTACTTTTTCTAATTTTTACTTATAATTCTACTTACTAGAGCCTTTCTAAAACTTTTTTAATATAGAGGATATAAGTTACCTTATCTTTAGAGTAAATAAGAATGTTATTAAGATAAGTAATACAAAAATTATTTAGATAGTTAATTAATATGTTGTTTATATAGCGCTAGTAAGTTACTAGACTATTATATAATCTAAAAGGTAAGACTTTACACTTATAAGTTTTATATTATGTCTAAAAGGTAGTACACTTCTTAGAGCTTAAATCTATTCTAATTTTATTAAAAGCTACGTAAATATTAAACTTAGTAAAGATTACTACCTTAGTAGGTCTTAACAGGAGTTTATTTATACGCAGTATTAGATACACATTCTTGCAGGTAAAAGCGTTAAGTTTGCAGTAATTAACATAGATACATAAGTTGCTATTTAGTTTCTGTACATAAAAAATAGAAGATGTAAAAGGGCTCTAACTTTACTTAATAAAGCTATATTTTAGATTATTTATAATATATTTCTTTATTACCTCTAGCTTCTTAAGGTTCTGTTTGTATAACAGACTGTAACTATTAGGGAGAGGCTCTGTAAGGACAATCTTGTGGTTATATAGACAATGTACTAGTAGCTAGTAAGCTGCTGTGTGGCTAAATACATCTTAGTACTAATAATGATGATGATGATGTCTTTATTACGCCCGGCTCTAGCCTAGAGGGCACTAGTGTGTTATTACCTAAGCGCTTCCTTGGTGATGGCTTAACTCCT